GCGCGCGGCCCCAGGAGGAATCGGGCGAGGCCGCAGGCAGTGTAGTGCCAGAACATGGGGGAGAAGTTTCCTGCGACGCCGCTGGCAAAGTGATCGCGGCGGACGGTGGGAACCTGCGCCGGGGGGGGGGGGGATTTCCGCACTGGGTGGCCGCAGCCGCAGCATGCACCGCCCGCTTTAGGCTCAGCAGCGGCTGGCGAGAACAGCCCGCGGCGATATGAGACGGAAAACTATTTTCACGGATTATCCGAATGGACCACGGCCGCTGCCGATTGGCCCCGCGTGAGTTGCGCGTGCGCCCTCTCTGTCGATTGGTCCTGCGTGGACAACGACGTCAAAATAATGGCCCGCGCAGTCCGCGAGGCTGTCTTCCGGGCGCGATGGCCCAGCGCGCGCTGTTGGAGGGCAGGCCGCAGTTCGCCGACTGCAGATTGCGTTTCAGATGCAGACTGGGTCCCCGCTGCAGATTGGGTTCCCGCTGCAGATTGGGTTTTCACAGCAGATTGGGTTCCACTGCAGAGTTGGCCAGGCGGCAGCGTCACTGCAGGTTGGGCCCCCACTACAAACTGGTTCCGCGGGAACAAAAGCGGGGCTCCTCGAAATGCCTGCATGTGCATGCGGCCAATGCAGACTGGTTTCTGCAGACCAGAACTCGCCATTGCAGATGGGTCTGCCCGCTGCAAGTTGGATTCATTGAAATGCAGAGCGCGTTGCTGCAGATATTTCTTTGCATGCGCATGACAGCTGAAGTTTCCCCATGGAGGCCTTGCATTTTTAGGCGCTCGCAGGTGCTCATCGCGGGCGCAGCTGTCAAAGTGCGACTGCGATTGCTGCGGGGGCATCGGCGAAGTATTAGATCCGCGGGACTTACAACAAGTGCGGTGCGACTTTGAACGATGTTGAAAGGTTTCCCTTGCCAGGAAGCCATCACCGTGCGAGGGGCCCCACTGCAGATTGGGGGCTCTGTATTATTCGCGGGCACAAGGGTGCACGCAGGCAGCCCGGTGCGCAGAGGCACTGTTGCGTTAAAATTTGCGTAGGCAGTGCCCAAGGCCAGAAGCACAATGACCACCGATAGCTTCTCGCACTAAAACTAAATATAGAATTCAATGCAAGATGCGCCGTGTTCCCTGTTGTCAACGCCTCTGGTGCAGGTGGCTGCATCTACGTTCCGATGCCCTTGTCGCGCAGCTGAGAGTCGACAGTCGCATCCCAATGGACATCCTTGACCTAATCACGCACTGATTCCTATCTTGAGCCCGCGTGCATCTAGGACTTGTTCCACGTGTCTCGCGTACTGCTGCTGTTGCCGCTGCTGGTGCTGATGCTGAAGATGCTGATGTTGTTGTTGTTGTTGTTGTTGTTGCTGTTGCTGGTGCTGGTGCTGGCGGTGGTGGTACTGGTGCTGGTGCTGCTGCTGATGCCGCTGCTGGTGCTGCTGCTGTTGATGCTATTGCTGCTGCTGGTGGCGGTGCTTCTGCTCGGGCCATCTTGGGGGTAGGAGGAAAAAGAAGAGGATGAACAGGAAAAGGAGGGAGGAGGGGAGGGGGTGGAGCAGGAATGCGGCACGAGAAGGATGAGGAGGAGGAGGAGGAGGGGGGAGGCAGCAAGGGAGGAAGGAAGGAGCGGATGATGATAATGATGATGACAAGCTGAGCTTTGAAGATTTATTGTGATGGTTTTTTCAGAGGACTCGTTGTGCCATCTTGGGCTCTCTTGGGGTCCTCTTGGGGCACTCTTGGCGCCCTCTTGGGGCTCCTTTGGGAGGTCTTGGAGCCCTCTTGGGGTTCTTTGGGGGGAGTCTGGGAGGCCTATTGGGGCAATCTCAGAAACCAAAGCTGAAAACACAGGGCGGCGGCAAGCAATTGGGGCTCTTTGGGGGAGTTTGGGAGGCCTGTTAGAGCAATCTCAGAGACCAAGGCTGAAACACAGGGCGGCGTCAATTCACATCGACCACTCGGAGGCTCAAGAGGAGTGGGCCAAACAATGGATCACACATAACGTCCCCCACAGAAATTTAAGATGGAGATTCGTGCATGCTACGCCGTGAGGTTCCCTGTGGTAAACGTCTGTGGCGTATTGCCACGGCGGCTTGATTGTCCTCTTGGGGTCCTCTGGATGCCTCTGGATGCCTTGTTGGTACCGTCTTCGGGCTCTTTTGGGAAGTCTTGGAGCCCTCTTGGGGCACCTTTGGGGGGGTCTGGGAGGCCCCTGGGTGCCGTCTTAGGCCGCAAAGATCTAAAAGAAAAGGTGCTAAATTTGGGTCGCCCCCTCGGAGGCACAAACATACCGTCTTGGGCCGCTGTTGGGCCGCTCTTGGGGCGCTGTTGGGCGCTCTTGGAGCCCTCTTGGGGATCTCTTGGGCGTCTCTTGAGGCTCTCTTGGGCCACCTTGGGGACTTCTTGAGGCCTGAAGAGCCCATCGTAAGCGAAAGGCGCCGAGGCAAACCACATTGGTTTCCCCAGGTTCGGGAGCCATTTTGGCCTCTTGGGAAAAACCTTTGAGGGCTCGGAGGGCACTTGAAACCGTCTTGGAGCCTTTTGGATGCGTGCCGGAGGCTATCTTGAGCCAACTTGAGGTATGTTGGGCCATCTTGGAGGCCATCTTGGGCTCTCTGAGGCCCTCTTGGAACCATCTTGAGCCCAAAAGGACCCTCTGCCACCTCGCGGCCCTTCCCGTCCAGAGGCTTGGAGAGGGGGAGAGGTATAACTCCCCCCGAGCAGGGAAAGGTTGGAACATGAAACGCGCTAGACCACCTCCGCCCAGAGGGCTGGTGGGATTTCGGTCCATGCTCCCCCTCTTGAGCCCATCTTGGGGCCGTCTGCAAAGCTTTTGGGGCCGTCTTGGGCGCCCCTGGGGCCGTCATGGAGCCCTGCTGGGCCGTTCCAGGGCCCTCCTGGAAGCCCTTCGGCCCGTCCTGAGGCGGTGTTGGAAGCTTCGTGGGCCGTCATGCACCGTCGGGAACTCGAAGAGTGGACTCTAAAAAATCAAAAACCCAAGGGACATCAAAGATTTTCGCCTCTCGGGGCACTCGTCTGGGCGGCGGGCGCCCAGTGAAACTTGTCCGAGGCCGTCCTAGCGCCTTCTTGGGGCCTCCTGGGAACTTCTTGGGGCGAGGGAAGCCAAATTTTGGTTCATGTTCCCCCTCTTGAGCCCACCTTGTGGCCGTCTCCAGGGCCTCTTGGACCGTTTTGGGCGCCCCTGAGGCCGTCACGGAGCCCTGTCAGGCCGCCCCAGGGCCCTTCTCAGGGCCTCTTGGCCCGTCTTGGGGCGGTCTTGTGGGCCAATTCGGCTGTCTGCGATTGTCTGAAACTCGAAATGGGGCCTCCCAAAAAACATTGAAAACCCAATCGAAATCAATGATTTTGCCTGCTGGGACAGTCGTCTGGGGTCTCGGTGCCCACTGAAGCCTGCCCGAGGCCGTACTGGCGCAGCCTGGAAGCCTTCGGAGGCCATTCACAAAACATCTTCGGTGCTCTCGGAGAGTGATTGCCAAGTCCGGTAGACTTGTCGGACAATGTTTTGGGTTATCTGAACGCCACTGTGGAGGCCACCATGCACCGACTTAATGCAAACCCGGGTCAGTCAGAGGGGGTCTTCGCAGGATCCTGCAGGATCCAATGCCCTGGCTGACCCCCGTTTGCATTGACCCCGGTCTCTTAAGCTCCTAATGCAAATCAAGGGCCGTGGTCCGGCCCCCGTCTCCGGCCTACCCCAACATACATACATATACACCCACATATATACACATATATACATATATATATATATATATAACTACGCATGCACACATATACACATGTATATAGATACCGTTCGACCAACCAACTACCTACATATACATGTGTGTACACACACGCTTGTACGATTATATATAGCTATGTATGTACGTATATATATATATATGTTCATATGAGCATATACATGTAGATATATCATTATACATATATGTACATATGGCTTGACAAATAGATGTTCACATGTATATTTATATTTATTCATACTGGTCTATATATACACATGTATGCTTATATGTATCGGTGTACCGCTATATATGTGTATGCATATATCTACACACACTCACTATACACATCTATGACAACTCAGAACTTTCTTTATGTCTAGTCATATGCCAAGTGTGTATATATATATATATATATATATATATATAGGTATATAGAGCTATCTATGTACTGATATATCTATCTTGGTGGAGGTCAGCACGGATTTCCTGGATGGGGAGCTGGATTCCCCACTACGGCGCGCGGAACGCGCCAGGGGCGGCGCTGGAGGCGTCGCCAGGGGGGCCAAACGCCGATCCAAGGAGTCCGCGCGGAGCTCCGACAAATCATGCATATGCATTTTGTTGTTCAATCTGCGCGTCGTCAAATTGGAGATGAGGATGCGGCAGATGTTCGCGCCGTGTGACGGGCTGTGGGTTCTCTTCTCCGTCGCCGCAAGGGTCGTTGAGGGCCCTGAACGGCCGCGGCCCTCCTACAGCGCACGCGGAGGCGGGACCACAAGGCATTCACGTGGAATCGGCGATACGTCGCCGACAAATCGGCGACAGGCTCTCGTTGCCGAATCCCCGGACCTGGGCCAGAAAAACATCCTTCAAGAACATGCGCCCCTCCGCCGGCTCACACCGAAACACATTGGAGGGTTCCCTCTTTCAGGATGCGCCAGAACATCCAACAAGCACGATGAACATGATCGTACCCTCCCCCGAGCCGACCTCGATATCGTACCTCGGCCCGACTGCATCGGCTCCCGATCGGCGAGGAATGGGCGTCTCGGGGTCGACGCGTTCTCCCCCTTGAGCCCGTCCTCCCGTGTCGCCTCCCCTGGGCACACTGTCAGATGTCGGCCAGGTCCCCAGACCACCGACAGAATTCAACACTGAGCGACCGCGCCGGGGTCGCCGCCGCGCCGACGTGGTGCGGGCCTGTCGTGGCAAGTTGGGGCGCGCGGCCGCCCCTGTCTGGCGAGGGCTGGTCCGCCTTGCCACCGTTGCACTCGTAGTCGTCCTCGCACATCTGCGGCATGTCTGGCAGCCAGCCTGGCGGGACGCCGCGCTGTGGGAGACCTGGACGGTCGAAATCCGATGCCCCCCTCCTCCGCGTGCTCGTCGTCGCCACGCCGTCTTCGCTACACACCATCGTTGACAAAAAACATACCAGGGGTCGCCACGTGAAGTGTCTGTGGGGAGGAGCACACATAATGTTCACTGTTTGTACAGATCGACGCGCGCGTTTCGCGCGCGCTGATGTTCTAGTCCAACAAAGCCTGCGTCCCATCCATCAGCGGATGGGTACGCACGCCACCCCACCACGATCACCACGTGGGAGCACCTGCGCTGTCTTGGGCACACATCGCCCCAGGAGATTGTTGAGGATCCTGCTAGAGGTTATCCGTAGCACCGCGCCGTTGTTGATCATTCCCAGGCGGCATTTTCGCCGCGGGTTTCCTCTGAGTGACGGCCTGGCGCTCGAGCCAGGAGAGGAGGAGAAGAGGAGGAGGAGGAGGAGGAGCCTGGACTGGCGCCTGGCTCGGCGCTCGGCCTGACCGCGCCCCTCCTCGCGCCGGGCCTCGCGCTCGGCCTGCGCGGCCACTCCTGGGCAGAGGTGCTGCGAGGAACCGAGCGCCGACACGCCGACAGCAGAAGAGCGCGGGTTGGCGGGGACGTCGGCTGTCTGCGAGGCTGTGAAGGAGTCCGCCAGGCGTGCTCAATTTTCACAAATTATGCAACGAGCCCGCCGCAAGCGCCGACTTTTTCGTTAACGCAATGTGGGTGGGTCGCGGGTGGGCGGGTCGCGGGGTGGGTCGCGGGTGGGTCGCGGGTGGGTCGCGGGGTAGGTCGCGGGGGGGTCGCGGGTGGGTCTCCCGTGGGTCGCGGGCCAGGTCGCGGGTGGAACGATGACAACACATAACAAACAACAAACAACACCACCAACAGCACCAACAACAACACCAACAGCACCACCAACAACACCAACAACAACAACAGCAATAGCAACAACAACACCAAGAGCAACAGCAACAGCAACAACGACAACAACACCAACAACAGCACCCACACCAACAATCAGTTTGAGACTGTTCGCTCTTACTGGCGTATCTTGTATACTGCATAGTCCAACCCTCGATACCCGCCCACTCTGTCTTCGATCGCACCTCCTTTCGGGGGGAATCTCGTCTCTGTCTGCCACTGGCTTAAGTGCGAGGAACTCTCGTGCGAGAGCGCCGCTCTTGAATTCGGGGGCCTCTCTGGCCAAAGGCTCTCGGAATAAACGTTAAGACATATCGAATGGGAATCTTTGTCGCCGTGTCTGGGCCTCCACCAATTTGCCTGAATTGCGAGAGAATCTCGAGCGAGAACGCCACTCTCGAGTTCGCCTCTGCGAATACATTTTGAGGAAGTATCGAACGGGAGCCCTTGTCGTCGTATTGGGCTTCCACCAATGTGACTGAACCACGAGAAAATCTCGAACGAGATCGCCGTTCCTGAATTCGGGGGCCTTCCTGGCCAAGGGCTCTCGGAGTAAATCTTGAGGAAGTATCGATCAGGAGCCCTTGTCGTCGTGGCTGGGGCCTCCGCCAACTTGACTGAATTGCGAAGAAATCTCTGGCGAGAGCGCCGTTCGTGAGTTCGGGGGCCTCTGTGGTCAGGGTGTCTCGGGGTAACTTGTAAGAAACAGTCGACCGGGAACCATTGTCGTCGTAGTCGGGCCTCCAACGGCACACTTTTCCATTCGAGCCAATGCTCGCGCGGGAACCTCGCTTTCATAGAACGCGCACGTCGGGGCGACAGCGCGCGGAACCGCTTCCGGATTCAGCAATACTTACACCATAGACATGGGTATTCAACAACAGCAGCAACAGAACCAACGACCACAATAACAATACAATGTATGGAGGTTGACGAGCAATGAATCGAACTTTCCGCGGGTCCGTAGGTAGAAGACGATTGGGAAGCGAATGTGTACGATTTTTTCCACACCGGCAGGATAGCGGGATAGATGGATAGAAAAATTATATGAACGGTTTTCACTTACACACACACACCCTCCCGAACCCTGCCCGCTACAAGTGGGCCCCGGGCCCGCGGGAGACAGAGGCAGGATTCGGGAACAAAAGTGTGAGGACGATCCGGGACGCCCTCCAATCCTCTGCGGCCCCCAAATGGGGCCCACGCTGGCTAGGAAAGTAAGACAGGGACCACCACGCAGCGCGGGGTATTCAAGGGAGTCTACCCGTCTTTGCGGGCGGAGGATGCGCCCCCCCCAACACGTTTCGGCACACCTCGGCGACTTCCCGCCACCTCAGGCTACAGGCTTGGGGTAGTAAGAGCAACAAGAAAGGAACATCCTGCGTCAAACGCACTACTGAAATACAATGACGCAAATGTTTCCACCGGCGCACAAAGTCGCCTGTGCAGGTATTCGCGCAAAACGCATCCATGTATGTATATGTCTATATATATATATATATATATATATTGCAAATATCACGTGCATGAAAATACGTGAAGCGAGGCGGCCCAATGCCAAATTCAGAAGTGCGTGCGCGATCGAAGCTGCGACGAAAATCGACCAACATAAAAAGCAACGCGGCGATTCATTCACAGGGCACCCCAGGACCTGAAATACTATATCGGAGTAGGCGAGTGCGAAGCATCCCAAAAGCATACAATCAGTATTATGTAAATGATCAAAATTGTGACAACATCTGGTCGACATACTGCTAGCATACAATGTTCAATCACGCGGGCACTCCATACCCCAACATACATGTGACATATATCCAACATTGTTCGATGAGAACAACATCCCTGGGATAATGTTAAGGGGATCGTGCTTCACATGGGTCGTTCCGTTAGGTAGCCGACATCCCATGATAATGAAGCCCATGATATTATGAAAGTATGTGCGATATGTGCGGCGGGCGACCTGTCTGGGAGCGTTTATGCTCATGATGCCACAGCAAATCCATATTCAAACTTGTAGAACCTGATAGTGACGTAAAAGTACAGATGCTCTCATACGCGCCTCTCCGAGGGAGTAGAGCTCAGAGCCGATTGATTGAAGGCGGTGTCCGGGATTTTTCTGGCCGTTTCGCTAGGAACACCGTGGAAAATTAGGAAAATCGGTGGCACCCCTCACGCAGATCGTGACGTCAGGGTCCAGAAACACAGGATTTGGACTCCGAATCTCAGAGAATGGCGATTTCGCCTGAGACATCCTCCCAACATCGAACCCCGACGTACCCCAGACCCCGCCTCTGAGCCTCTTGGGGGCCTCCTGGAACCTCCTGGGGCCTCCTGGGGCTTTCTGTACCTTCTGGTGCCCCAGACCCCGCCTCGGAGCCTCCTGGGGATCTCCTGGAACCTTCTGGGGCCTCTTGCGGCCTCCTGGAGTTTTTTGGGGCCCCCTGGAGTTTCCCGGGGTCTTCTGGGGCCTCCTGAGGCCGCCTGGGGCCTCAGAACTACATGCGCACACAGAGACGCAAATCACACCCAACACATCACACGCTAGACGAACATAACACACAACACTTACAACGCACAAGAAACACGCACAACACAAAGCACACATCACACACACACAACACTCACAATCCCGGGGCCTCCTGGAGCCTTTTCCGGTATCCAAGTCGGGCCTCCTGAAGGTTTCCCGGGGGGCCCTGGCGCGCGCATCGCAAGGTGTGGCAACCCCACTTGCGCTCGAGATTCTTCTGCGTTCACCTCCTGCCTCTTCCCCTTCTCCTAGGCGCGCCCTGGCGGCGCCGCCCCACCTTCCCCTTCTCCATCTACGAACCTGCAGTCATGGTGTATTCCTGCTTCAAACGCCCTTTCAATGTCTTACGTGAGCCTGGGTACGCGCGTGCCACTTTTAATGGTCCAGGCACCAATCATTCGAATGTCAATGTGAGGGTTGCATCTGTCATCTCAGTCAGCGCAACATATATTGGTCTCAGCACGCTGGGTCCCAAGTGCGATTGCAACGTTTGTCAACTTGTCCAATAGTACGAGTGGTAATATTATCAACCCAAATATATTCACGATCGTTCTCATCGGTCTGGAGTCGTTCAGAAAATGCGACCAGTGGCAGCATGTGTTGTCGCGGTAGTGCTCGAGGTTGTAGCGCCGCCGCGCATCTGAGAGCGCCCTGCGGATGCCGCTCCGAGTGCGCTTGCTGGCCAAGCGCCGCGAACCTTGCGGCCGGCGCGGCGGCGTAAATCGGCCTCCGCGCTCCCGCCGCGATCGGCGCGGCAGCTCTTGCAGCCCCGCCACCCCAGTCTGCGTCGCCGGGAGCAGGGCCGCCGGCAGACGCCGCGCCCGAGGAGGGGGCGGCGCCCGTGGCAGGCCCGTCGTCGCGGCGCGGCGGCGGAGGAAAGGGTGACGGGGTAGATCGGGGGTTGGTGACCGGATCAATCCCCTCGCCGAAGGCTTTGCCCCCCGCAGCGGTCGCAGCGGTGTGGGGCCTCGCTCTGAGCTGCGGCTATGTCGCGCGGTCCTGACCCGCCTCGACGACCCGGGCAGCGTTCGCGCACATCTTGCTGTTGCGCTCAACGAACTTGGCAACGAAGTCGGTGCGAACTATTGCGTCCGTCTGCGTTCCGTGTCCTCCTGCCTCGGCCAGTGTCTCAATCCGCTCGCGGGTGATCCCACTGGCGCTCAACTCGCGAAAGAGATCGCGGAGGGCCTGGTCCGGAATCGCGCGAGCGCTATCGGTTGCCGGATCGGCGGGGGAAGATTCGCGTCTCCTGTCGGTCATCAGATTGAGGAGATCTCCCATCGTAAAATTTCCGCGAGATCGGCGCGCTGAAACAGTGCCAAGATGCTCGCCCATGACCTGCTTGGTCTGCTCCGCGAGGGCCGCCTCAGTCGCGGCCCTCTCGTCGCCCTGCTGGGTGTCATCGCTATCAGCAAGGCGTACTTCGACGTTCTGTCCCTGAATACAAGCGGCCGCGGAAGCGGGGCATCCTGGCTCGGGCTTGGGCCCTGGAGACTCAAAGAATCCCTCGGCGTCGATCTCTGCAGATGGGCGCCGGGGGTGA